ATGATGGGCAAAGATAGCTCCATAAGGCCTTTTCAGACCGTCCACGAGGGCCCCGGATCGCCGAACGATCGGTCCAAGACGATCCGGACAGCATCCAGACGGCCCACGAGGCCTCCCAAACGCCCAAGAGGGCTCCAAGGGCCCTCCCAGAGCTCCAAGTGGCAAAACTCATCCAAGTCCTTTGCGAAATCATACCTGTTCTAGCATATGCCACATTTCGGCCGTCGCGGCGTCCAAGACGGCCCAAGAGGAACCTGAAAAGGCCCCGAGGCGCCCCCCCGAGAGGGACTCAAGACGGACGAAGAAGCGCCCAATACTGCCCCGGCGGGCACTCACAGGGCCCATGAAGGGGCCCAAGAGGGGGAACTCGAAGTCAGATCCCGAGCCCTCCGCCCCAAAGGGCGAACCGAAGATCCAACTACTACGGCGACAAGCTTAACAATGCAATGACCATACACGCATAAGTACATACATGCATACATATATACATTCAGATGCACATACACAGATACAGAAATACGTACGTACACACATGCATGCATGCATGCATGCACATACACACATGCATGCATGCATACACGCATCGGTGCATACACTCATACCGATATACCTGCATACCTACACACATACGTGCATGCATACACACCTACATACATGCGTGCACGTGAACATACATATACATATGTATATATATATATATATACATGCATAGATGCATGCATGTGCATATACATAGGTATATACAAGTATGTATACATCGATATACACATACGTACGACCGTACATATACATATATACATATATGTATATACATACACACTTATATGTATACATATATATATATATATATATATATATATGTGCGCAGATGCATGCATGAATGCATGCATACATGCATACATGCATACACACATACATACACGCATAAGTGCATACACACACGCATGTATACAGACAGACATATAGTCAGACATATGTGTATGCAAATGTATATATGCACATGTGTGTAACTACCTCTTCCCGAGCACACCACCACCCCAAGAGTTTGGACATTGCACATCACGATCGTCCTCGTCTGCCTCCTCGCCCTCCTCCTTCTCCTCCGACTCCATTCTCCTCCTCATTTCCTCCACCTCCTCTTCCTTCCGATCTCATCACTATGCATTATCCCCCATTGTCTCATCCCTTATCCCCCCCAGTATCCTCATTCCCGTGCCCTTCGATTGGCGCATCTGCCCCATCCTGCTCATCCTCATCCTCCACACCCTCCTCGTCTCCTCATATTCCACATCCCCACATCTATCTAACTACAACAGGGGTCCGATCACAAGAAACCTTGCACAAGAAACCCAACCCTGAGACCCCAGGGCGTCCATCGGTTTTTGGAATGGGAACGCCACGCTTGCCATGGCAAAACAACATCGAACATCGGACATCGGCATGCAGTCGAAGCGCCGCGGGGACGCTGCAGGTGGGCGCCGGGGCGCCAAGGAGGCAAGCAGGGTGTTTCTTGATGTGGGCCCCAACGGTATAGGGGTGCTCTGCCAGCGGGCCTCTGAACCGCACGATCCCCTCGCTGCCGCGGCGACTGCTGGAGACAGTGCCCCCAACCAGCCCCGAGGCCCCGGCGCGGCGCAGCGAACGCCCGCGCACCCGGACACGGTCGCACAACGAATCCCTCCGTGCGCCACCCGCACAGCCGCACAGGCCGCTTGCACCGCACGGCCACGCGGACACCTGCCGCGAAGGCGCCACCGCAGGCCTCCAACCGAGTGGGGGGTGAGCGGCGCATGGGGCCCAAGGCTTTGTGGGCCCCGGAAACGGCAGGGCCTTTTTTGAACCGTTTCCAGAAAAATGTCCCTTGAACATGGAAACGGCAAAAAAACCAAGCCGGACACAGCAAAAAAACGGCTCCAAGATTGGAACCGGAGCCGGAACCGGTAAAACACCGGTAAAAAAACGGCGTCAGAACCGGCAAAAAAACGGCAAAACGGAACCGGGAAAAAAACTGCCCTGTCGTTTCCAGGGCCCTAAGGCGGGGGGTGAGCGGCGCATGGGGCCCGGGGATCCCGAGATGGGGTAGGGGAACGAACAAGGGCAGAAACGTAAAACTCGGAGCTCCGCGCGGAGTGCTCGCATCGGCATCGGTCACCCCTCCTATCGCGCGCGGAGCGCTGCCGGGACGGCGCTGGAGGTGCCGCCCGGGGGGAGGGGGGTCAGCGCCGCTCCGAGAAATCCTCGCGGACCTCCGGGTTTTCATGCTCATGTCATGGTTCGTTCCCCCATGGGGGAGGTCGCCAACCAAAGACCCCCCCCCACCGTGGGGTCAGCGCCGATCCGAGAAATCCTCGCGGACCCCCGAGTTTTCATGCTGATGTCATTGTTCGTTCCCCCAATGGGGGAGGTCGCCAACCCATGACCCCACCCCCCCGTGGGGGGGGTGTCATGGGTTGGCCCGGGGAAGCGCGGCACCACCCCAGCGGCGCCAGTGACCTGCTCCCCAGCTCAACCTACAACCTGCCGATTCAGGCGGCGCCGACCGATCCACCCGCTCCACCAAAAGGGCTGCCCCGGCTATCCCCGAGTCGTTCACTGGGCCCCTGCTGCCCAAGCAGGGAGGCATGACCCTCCTCTCCTCCCCGTTGGTCTCAGACGGTTTGCCACCGTGCCGCATCATCATCTCCTCCTTCCGCCTCGTCTTCCTCGTCTTCCTAACCTCCTTGTCGTCAAGCGCCTGGGGAGGGGACCGAGCATACTTGATTGGTCTTCCTCCTCCTCCTCCCACGCCGCATCCTCCACCTCCTCCACGTCCCCCTCGCTCCCCACTCCCCACCTCCTCCACGTCTCACAGCATTCCTGGTAAGAAGAAGCGAGGTAGTGGAGGAGGAGGAGGAGGAGGAAGAGGACGAGGTATGGTAGGGAGGGGGGCACATGTGTCAGGCGCGAGCCCTCGGAGCCACGAAACACTGTGTATCATCGGTGTGTTCGGTTTTGTTCAGGTCGGGTAATCAACGAAACACTCTGTATGCTAGGTGCCTGTGCTTGTTTTGGTTTCGGTGGAAAGAGAGAGAGAGAGAGAGAGAGAGAGATGCTGGGGAGAGGCCGCTTTGAGCACTGGAGCCGTCAAAACCTAAAACAACAAGAAACATCTTTAATCCACAGGGTCTCTTTGCTTCCGGGACCAAACAAACAAAAGCCCTCGCATACACAGCGTTTCGTGGCCCCAATCCCCATCATCTTCCTCATCGTCATCCCCTTCGAGTGGTGCACCCTCCTCATCCTCCTCATCCTTACCATCCTCATCCCCATCTTCGTCGTCCTCACCCTGCTCATCTTCCTCCTCTCCTCATATTCATCTCTGCATCGCCTATATCATCATCGTCCTCCTAATCATCCAGCGCTGGGGGATGGGACCCAGCACATGTAATGATTTGACGTCGTCCTCCTCCTCCTCACCATCCCCCCTCCACGTCCTCGCTCTCCACGCCCTGCAGCGAGTTCCAAATTTGGCATGGCATGCCTTCCTCTCACAACAAAGAAGGAGCGAGGAAGAGGAAGAGGGGGGGAGGAGAAAGAGGAGGAGGAGGAGGAGGAGGAGGAACGATACATTGAGGATACGGGTATGTGTTTCAAGCGCGAGCCCTTGGTGCCATGAAACGCTGTGTTTGCTAGGTGTGCATGCAGGTAGGAATGGGGAGCAACGAAACACATTGTATGCTAGGTTTGTGGTTCATGGTTGGGCTTCGGAGGCTGAACGATAAAGGTGTTGGGGGGAGCCGTCCAACCCTAACATATCAAAACTAGCAACCTAGCCAACACAGGATCCCGTTGTTTCCCAGACTTAAGAAAGCTAAACAAGACGTGGCATTCACAGCGTTTCGCTGCACCGAGCGAAACCGAAACGCTTGCGGTGCCCATGACTGATGAACCGAGAGGATGAGTTCGTCAGCCTGGATGTCAGGCTCATGGGTGAGTGTTGCAAGAAAGCCAGAGTTCGCCAGTGAAGCGAACGTGCGGCTTCAGTAAAGCGATTCTGCGGATTCGTGGTTTGGGGGTTCGTTGGGAGACCGGCCATATATCCATACACATGTATATAAAGATACAGATATGTGTATGACACAATTGTCAAATGGACAGGTGTATACATACATTGAAGTAGGTAGACGCGTGTGCTGATGTACATGTGCATATCTACATATACATATAGATGCAGATGCGTGTACCTATCGATATATATATATAGAGAGAGATATATAGATATGCGTGTACATCTATACATATAGATGCATACGCCTATGCACACATATACGTAACACAACTTGTACAACACATAGGTAAGCGATCATTAGAATATGTGGTCCAGGGCTTGGGCCCACCCCCCCAATGCTGATGCCATTGGGCCCCCCCCCCCGCGCGATGGTCCCTCCCGCCCCCCCCTGTGGGCGTGGCGTGGTGCTGCGCTGCGGTGCCCACCACCCGCCCCCCCTGTGGATGCGGTGTGGTGCCGTGGTGGTTCAGAGGTGGGCGTGGCGTGGTGCTGCGCTGCGGTGCCCCCCCCCCCTGTGGATGTGGTGTGGTGCTGTGGTGGTTGAGATGTCGTCGTCGTCGTCGTCGTCGTCGTCCTCGTCGTCCTCGTCGTCCTCGTCGTCGTCGTCGTCATCGTCGTCGTCGTCTTCGTCGTCGTCGTCATCGTCGTCGTCGCCGCCGCCGCCGGCGTCGTCGCCGCTGCAGCCGTCGTCGTCGTCGTCGTCGTCGTCGTCGTCGTCGTCGTCGTCGTCGTCGTCGTCTCTGGGACCATACCATCTGGGGGGGGGGCCCGAGGAATCCTGGGACCATACCATCTGGGGAGGGGGGGCCGTGGGCCCGGAGCCCGGGACCATATATATCTATATATTTCTATATCAACTGTGAACGCGAGATGGTGAGAAGTGCGTGTCTCGCTCTGTGCTCCCCCGCTCCCCCGAAGACAGGCACCGCGCGGCACACGAGCGCGCGGCCTCTCACCGCTCCTCCTCCTGCTCGGGGGGCGCGGGTGCGTCGGCCTGTGGAGGGCACGGCGCCCAGGCTGCGCACCACGCGGCACAGAAACAGATGCGGGGATTGGAAAGGAACCCCGCCTCCTCCCCTGCCTCCGCCTCCTCCTCCTCCGCCTCCGCCTCCTCCTCCTCCTCCTCCGCCTCCTCCGCTTTCTCCTCCTCCTCCTCCTCCGCCTCCTCCTCCTCCCCCTCCTCCTCCTCCACCTCCTCCTCCTGCTCCCCTCTTGTTGCCACACTCCCCCAGAAGGGGTAAGAGCTATGAAGCCCGAGGGGTGGGCCACTGGGACGAAGGTGGCCAGATGGAGCCCAAGGAGTAAGCCCCATCGAGCAGGAGTCAGCCAAACGAGCCCGGATAGGCCAGATTCGGCCGGTTGTCGACCAGGGGCATAGCAGCGCCGATTCTGACTTTCACCTCCCAGGAGTTGCATCCTAGCCACAGGGCCCGACGCGAGGGGGCACGGCCCAATGTCGTGCAGGCCCCCGCGCGTCGTGAAGAAAACACGGCGGAGGACTTGTTGCCATTCTGTGGTTCTTGGGACCCTCGTGTGGTATATGAGCCCTCTGGGCCGTGCTTTGCAGCTCAATGATGAAAGATGGAAGCAATTTGCAGGCGATGGGGCGGGAGGGACGGGGGAGGGGGATGGCGGATAGCGGATGGCGGATGGGGACAGAGGGCGAAGCTGGGGTGAGTGGGTCATGGGAGATGCAGAGAAGAGTGGACAGGGGGAAACCAAAACCGACAGGAGGGGACAAGGGTGCAGGTAAAAGGGAGAAAATCGTGTGAGGGGGGTGGAGGGAGAAAGAGGGGAGATAGTATAGCAAACGAGAACGCCTGCGTTCCCCGTCGGATGCGCTGTGTTTCAACGGTCCATGCAAGCACCATCCAAATCCCTAACGACCTAGGCGCTGGAGACTCAGGAACATGGCCTGGGCGAAGTTCAAAGGCGAACAGACATCTGAAGATGACTCACGTTCGCGGTGTGCGTAGATTTCGGCAAGTTTGAGTGGCCGAAGTCTGCATCCGGGAGAGAAAAAGGCCCATCAGAACGGGAATGACGTCTGGGTCAGATTGGCTCATGATACGTCCCAAGAAATCTGTACTATCTGACGACTCTCGTTTCTGCAGCCCGTGTGGAACGTCAGGGAAAAGCGGAAAACCTGGACAGAACGCATCAGTGTGGGCGTTGTACGACAGTGCGCGGAAGCTCAACCAATGAGCCGCCGAAGCGGGTGTCGTTCCTGCGGGAAACAGACCTGGAAAGACCTGCTCGTACCCTGGCGTCCCAGGGAACACAGCCCAGGAACACCAGCACGCAGAGTAAGTAGTGCAGTGGGGAGCAACAGCGTGCAAAACAGGATCTGCTGCTCTGGTCTAAGCCCCCTGAGTCTGACTGCCGGAGAACCATCTGGCACCGCTTGGCCGCTTCCAACGGAAAGAGCAAGCGGAGGCGGATTGCAAGGCCGAAGACGACTCGCGCGCACGGGCGGGGTGGGAAAGAGGAAAGCGAACGCGAAGCGGAAAGGTTATGTCGGGCATGTCATCCTGCAGGTGGATTTTGGGTCCAAGAAAGAAGTGAACAGTCAGCCTGGCGAAGGACCCAACCATATGCAAACGTGAACGCCGTCGTTGTATGCACCGCACTCGGAGGAGCTCCCTATAGGGCCACGAAACGTGTGACGGGTGTACCAACATTTTTACGGTGGGCGCAGGCAAAAGCAGCCACCGGGGCTGTCGGTGGAATTCCCTATGGGGCCGTGAAACGCGTGATGGGTGTGCCGAAATTGGTGCGGTGAGCGCATTGCGAACGCAACCACTGGCGCATTCGGTGGAGTTCCCAGTGGGGCCACGAAACGCAAGGGGTGTGCCGATTGGGTGTGCGTGACGCATGCGGGCGGTGGCACTGGGGCCTTGGGTGGAGTCCCCTATGGGGCCACGCAACGTGTGAGGGGTGTGCTGAAATGGGCGTGCGTGACGCATGCGGGCGGTGGCACTGGGGCCGTCGGTGGAGCTCCCTGTGGGGCCACGAAACGTGTGAAGAGTGTGCCGAATTGGGTGTGCGTGACGCATGCGGGCGGTGGGACTGGGGCCTTTGGTGGAGCTCCGTGTGGGGCCACGAAACATGACAGGGGTCTGCCGAATTGGGTGTGCGTGCACCATGCGGGCGGTGGCACTAGGGCCTTCGGTGCAGCTCCCACACAACGTGTGAGGGGTGTGCTGAAATGGGCGTGCGTGACGCATGCGGGCAGTGGCACTGGGGCCGTCGGTGGAGCTCCCTGTGGGGCCACGAGACGTGTGAGGGTTGTGCCGAATTGGGTGTGCGTGACGCATGCGGGCGGTGGCGCTGGGGCCGTCGGTGGAGCTCCCTGTGGGGCCACGAAACCTGTGAGGAGTGTGCCGAAATTGGTGTGCGTCGCGCATGCGGGCGGCACTGCATGCGGGCGGTGGCGCTGGGGCCGTCGGTGG